ACCGTGCCCAGCCTGTATTTTATTACACATCCCATCCATACAAAGAACTTTCCTAGCAATGAACAACTACCTCTTAAATTGTTAATAGTTTTGCTTTTATTTCTTCAGATTATTTAATGGATATTTATTGTGTTTCCTATGGCAGAGAAAACAAAGACTTTGCTGGAAATACAAAGATGTGTGAGACATTGCCCTGATCATCTGAGACCTGTCAGTCCAGTGTAGAAATCAGAGTCAAATACAGAAATAAAGAGCACAGAAGTGGAAATCTGCACAGATTGTTATGGAAGCGGGTGAGGGTGGGGTCCCAAAACCAGTCCATCCGTCCAGGGTGGTCAGGAGGCATTTTTAACTTATTTTAAGTAAAGGGAAAAAAAAGGCGGGGGAGGGCAGGGACAACTTAGGCCAATCGCTTTTTCTTCATTTAGTGTTAGGTGTTATAACATAGTTGATGGACTTACCAGAAGAAGGGAGGTACAAAGAAGACAAACAGAGGAGAGAGAAATTTCCAGCGCAGCGTGTCCAAAGTGACACATGGCCATGTGCCGCACAGACGCAGAAATCCCAGACCTGGTAGTGGTCACAGAGCATTACACACAAAAAACAGGCCCACAAAAAAAAAAAAATACTCTGTGCACATCATTCCTTTGCCCAATTTAAAATGGCGTTTATTTGACAGCTGTCTTAGTCTGACTACCAGACGCTGTGTGTCCTGGTGGCCGTGGCTGAGCCAGCGAAGAACTCTCAGCTCCCAGCTGCTGCCTGATGTTTTAGCCACACAGCACTTAACCGTGCAGGGAGCCCATAAGGTCCTGCAAGAAAGTTACTCTCAGCCGGGCGCGGTGGCTCAAGCCTGTAATCCCAGCACTTTGGGAGGCCGAGACGGGTGGATCACGAGGTCAGGAGATCGAGACCATCCTGGCTAACACGGTGAAACCCCGTCTCTACTAAAAAAAAAAAAAAAAAAAGAAAAAAAAAACAAACAAAAAAAAAGTAAGTTACTCTCACGCCCAAAACAACAGCGGTAAGGCTTGCTCTGTTTCTCTTATTTGTCTAATTTCGCACATTAAAATATCCAGACCTGGAGCTCCCTTTATTTTCTCTAATAGTTTCAATCACTGTGTATTCCAACACAGGCTACAGAAAATCATCAACACAGGATCACAAGTGTATGACAAGAAGGAGGTTGCTATAGACCAGTTCTACTTTTCCCATGAATTTCTTTCAGTCTCTCTCAAACCCCAAAACCTTTCCCAGACACTTAACTACGTATATATGTGTCTGCATGTATAGACATATATATACACATATATATACACAAATACGTAGGCACATATGCACATACATATACATACACACATATGTGTGTGTGAACATATGCCTATATAATCATCATACTCGGGGTGTTATTATAACTAAATGCAATAACTTCAACATTATTTAGAAACACTCATTAGTGCCTCACTCATATTGCTCCAAAATTGCTCAGAATACAGAATTAATGACTTTCACAAATGAAGAAATGGAGCATTTTAGTTATTGACATGGGTTCATCCAAGCACTCCAAAGTAGGGGTGGGGAAAGAATTAATGATTTTTTTACTCTGCATTTTGTCTGTTTCTCTATTGCTCTGTGAAGGAGGGAGCCTGCCCTCTCCTATACATAGGTGTATTTTGTGTTTCCTCTTGACTCCTAGGTAGAGCTGGTTCTGTTCAATACCCCTTCACAATAATGATCACAAAGATGAAGAGTGAGCCTTTTGGAAGACATGGTGCTATTTCCATAGAGAAATCTATCTTGCGACGTGGGACTTTTTTGTTTCCATTACAAAAATGACAGCTCGTGGCTGTGAAAACAGCTGATGAGACGTTTTAATCGTGTTGCGTGAGCTCCTGGTAATGGTGCCATTAATCTTAGCATCATTCAGACTTGAGCAGTCTCTAGCAGATCGCCTGCTGCGTTGTGAGTGTTTGATTTCATTATTTTTGAGCCATCCCTGATGAGATGGGAGGCGGTGCAATCGCAGATGTCGTCCAAGGCGGCCTTCGCCGTAAGTAATCACTCACTCCTTCTGCCCCACAGCTCCTGGGTTCTCTGTCAGCTCTCTGGGTCTCCCTGCCTTCGAGGCGGGCTGAACTCTGCTGCCCGTGGGTTGCCATGCAACAGGAGCTGGGGCCAGTGCAGAGTCCCCAAGTGTATCTGGTCACGGGGGACTAAAGAGCCAAGGTATTTGTACTCTATGTTCTCTGTCCATCCTTGGAATTTTTCATCAATTTTTTCACTTACCCTGAATCCATTCTGGAATTCAAAACACGTAATAATGATGCCATGTAAAGGAATTATTGCAGATGTCTACATGATCCCTTTGAAACAATCCTTTACATTTTAGAAAAATATCTTCCTTTGAAGAAGAGATGCCCATAAGGGCCTATTGGCTCCTACTGACCTACATATTTTTGATTTCCTAATATCATACTTCAGGCCCACTTTTGGCAATCCACCAGGAATTTGGAGTAGAGAGACTTTGAGTTAGATACTTTCATACAATAAATTTTCTCTGACAAGTCAAGCACTTGCTTTTATTACCGTGTCTCATTTTCCCAGGCATATACACTTTACAGATTCAAAGGGCCTCTCCACTACCCCAGCCCTGGGTAGTACCGTGTGCTCTTTGTAAAACTTTCTTTAAGTGAATTAAAATGAGACCATTTTTTTCTAATTACATTGTGTGTGGAAATTTTACTTTTTAAAATAAATGGCCACAAATTTCCGAGGCAAATGCCACTAATAAGAATATTCATAAAGCCATCTTTATACCATTCGAATTTTATCTGTAATTGTTTGACTATTTTTATACAATGCTATCAAATCAGTTTTCTTCCTCTCATATAAATCTCGTTGCTGATGGAGGGAAGGAGAGCCCAGGGTGTTTTAATTAGTTCAACGATTTAAAGGTCATCCCCTTTATGTGTTTGTAAGTATGAAAAAGCTTTTCTGGATTATACTCTTATGGTACTGTAATCTGACTGCAGGGAAAAAGCCTATCACAGTATCCTTTATCCCAATGGAGAACACATTTTACACTGCTGGCTACAATTAATTGCCTTTCACTGTGCAATACTGAAAGAGAGACTGAAAATTTATATTATCTGATGTCAGGCAATCGGGGACGTGCCTTGTGGGGTATCACGTTAAAACAGCAAAATGAAAACCACTGACTGCCCCTCTTAAACTGAAGCTATAAACTCTTCACCCAGAAATTCCCTTGGCTCTTGAGCAACATTTCCAAGCCCCATTTCTCTCTGCGTTCTTTCTGCTGCAGAGTGTGTATGAAGGAGAGCTTGTGTCTGTGCCCCGTCTCCTGCTTCTGCATTCATTCATTCCATAAGGAAATCGTGAGTTTCTGGCCTCCCCCAGCCACTGCGTTTGGAGTGCTGTTGTGAAAAAGCCAAGCGTGCGTAAATCCTGGCCCGACCACTTTCGAATTCTGAGACGCTGGGCAGCTAACTGACTTCACTTCTCTGTGCCCGATTGTCCCTGTCTGTCAAACAGGGACCCTAACAGTGCGTACCTCATATAGTTACAGACAGAGGATGGAGAAAGTGGTTTTACTTTCCAGGAACGCAGAAATGCAGTGGGCACACGTTTACGTTTCTGTGTGTGTGCTTTTTTTCCTAAGGGTTTTTACATACATGATCTCACTGTATCCTCCTGCTAGCTTTGCAAGGTGGTTAAGTATTATCTTTACTCTATTCAAGAACTGAGGAAACTGAGGCCAGAAAAGGGTCACAGATGAGCCTGACATCCCCGCCGTGTCCCTCAGTACGTGATAGCACTCCTAGACACAGTTTCACAAAACCCATCTCGCAGAGAATTACCTAATGACCAAAAAATATATTAAAGCTAGCAGCCACCAGCCTATAGTCTTGGAGTCATATTCTTGTTTGTAGTAGACAGCTGTGTGTGGGTTCTCTGAACTGCCTGGCCAACTACTTTGATACAAATGCACTGAGGCCAGAAATCCCAATACTAACAACCCTTCCTTGAAGTAAAACATCGACCTTTTCCTCTAATATTTGTCAAAACTGTGCATAGACCTGTAAGTGGGAGCATTTTTAGTCTATAATGCTTCAAAGTGCATGATTCATCAGCCTGGTTCTTGAAAGGAAAAAGCTGGGTAGAAAGATCTGGAGTCTAGGGAAAAGAGAAGTGGCATGAAGAGAAGCAGAAGGCAGTGGTGTCAGCCCTGTAGCATCTTAGTCGCCTTGACTTTTCAGCCTCAGGGGAAGCCCTACAGACTACCGATGGTGGCATGTGTCGCCCGGAGTCAGAGGGAAGTCAGCAAAACACGCCCAGTTCAGCATGCCAGACACAGTCCTCAAGGCTTGTTGTCTGACCTAATTGGATCTCTTGAATCTAATTTACACTTTTTTTTTATTATTTTTATTTTTTGTTATACTTTAGGTTCTAGGGTACATGTGCACAACATGCAGGTTTGTTACATATGTATACATGTGCCATGTTGGTGTGCTGCACCCATTAACTCGTCATTTACATTAGGTATATCTCCTAATGCTATCCCTCTCCTCTCCCCCGCCACAATAGGACCCGGTGTGTGATGATCCCCTTCCTGTGTCCAAGTGATTTCATTGTTCAATTCCCACCTAGGAGTGAGAACATGCGGTGTTTGGTTTTCTGTTCTTGCGATAGTTTGCTGAGAATGATGGTTTCCAGGTGCATCCACGTCCCTACAGAGGACCCAATTGGATCTGTTGAATCTAATTTACACTTTCATTAGTACAAGCAAAGCCACCGCCCCTTCTGGGTGTGTGCATAAACCTACACTTGCGTCTTGATTGATGCTGATCCTTTTAGGATAGCACCAAAGGAGGCTTGAACTTCTCTACTTTTTTTTTATTTAATGAGGTGCTAAACATACAGTTTAATTATAAGCACTTAAATTACAGTGATGTCAGTGTCTTTGCTGCGGAGGGACACCCATGGAGGAGACGGTCGGACCTGGAGTGGTTCTCATTCCACAGGAACACATGGGCTCAGCACAGGGGCGTGTGGAAGTGGCAGGGGGACCTTTAGGTAATGTCTAGGAATAGCTGGCTTCCATTCGAGATTTTGTGGAAAGAACAAAGCAAGGCAATAGAAATTTCTGGAAAGGTGAGGCATAGTAGTTTAATAGACACAACAAAGATTATTGCTGTGTGTATGAACTCTCTTCTACTATTTTAAACAAGCTTCATGGAAAAGTTCAACTGACAGACCAGTTATTAATAGATTCAATAGGTTCCAAACTACATGGAAATTTTTTATATTGAAAATGAACAAAGTATGCATTATTTTATTTTTTCTCTTACATAGAGTTTTCAGGAAAATTGCTTTCCACATTTCAAAACTAAACATGTTTGCTGTAGATAAAGAAGCCAAAAACAAAGCATTGATTAGTTTATAGACCTGTATTGTTTATATCCGTGGCACACAATTTTAAATCAAAAAATATAGGGAGCATTTCTGTTACTTTGTAATAGTCTTATTCACTATTTTAATTGATTATCAGTATGCTAATTTGTGAGTATGCCATCATTATTTTTTAATTTTAATTTTTTTTTTTAGAGAAGGGATTGGCTCTGACACCCAGGCTGGAGTGCAGTGTCATGAGCATGGCTTACTGCAGCCTCAACCTCTGGGGCTCAAGCCATTCTCCCATCTCAACCTTTGCCAAGTAGCTGGGGCCACCAGTGTGCGCCACCATGCCTGGCCAATTTCATTTTTATTTTTTGTGGAGACGAGGTTTCACCATGTTGCCCAGGCTGGTCTCCAACGATCCTCCTGCCTTGGCATCCCAAAATGCTAGGATTACAGGCATGAGCCACAGCACCTGGCTCCATGACTTATTATTTTATTTTATTTTATTTTATTTTATTTTATTTATTTTTTCTGAGACGGAGTCTCGCTCTGTCGCCCAGGCTGGAGTGCAGTGGCCGGATCTC